GGTGATTTAGAGATGGGCGGATGAGGTCTTTTGGGGCTTCGTTAAGGGACGTTTTCAATGATCGAGAATTAAAATTGAAGTGGGTGATGGTTGCATTTTTGGTCTTGGAACTTCATTTTTAAAAAGACTGCAGAGGGAAGTACAGTTGTCAGTGCTGGATGTAGCTGTCTGGCAGTGACAAATTTAGCGTCAAGGTCGGTTGCTTTTGGGCATACGGGTCTGATAGTTGTTATCATTCTCTCAAGCCTTACGAAGGTTAGCAATTGGGCTTGGTTGTTTATGTAATTTTGGGATATGTCTGATTCAGAGTAGTTGCCGGCAGCTTGGCAATTTTCGACGAACCTAGTCGGCAGGTGTGATTCATAGGGCTGTTTAGACCTTGCAGATATAGCGTTCTTTCTTGAGTGTTGTTCAAGAGGTGAGTTGAGCTGGTTGCGAGTGGGAGCGGTTACCAATGAGAAATTTTTCTTGTTCTTGCAGGGTTTGGGAACGAATTGGAGTCGGGTGAGGGTTGCAATGGTTAGCACTACATAAAAAGCTTTGTCAATTGTTAGCATTTAGTAGAACGGCATGAACTCGTCTTACATAGTTGCTTATGCTAGCACCTATACGTTTTTCAATTATTTCAGAAAGCTGTGCGCTACTTCTCAGCAGTGCTGTTAGCATTGTCCACCGATTCTTTTTTTCTATTTTGGTTGTTTAAATGTTTGTGATTAGTGACAGGAGACTAATTCAAACTAACCATATTATGTGACTGCTAACTGGCGACAGCTGAACTGATTTAATTCGTGGACTATCACCTGGAAGCATAATTTTGATGAACTCGATTTAACTAGGCAGAGTTTCAACCTTATTTTTGCAAAGGCTGATATTGTATACGTTTTAACAGTTATAATGTTATCGGTGATTAGATTTTTGAGACGATTCACTAATAGTTTTTTTGCGCAAAAAAATTTACTTGCCTTCCATTTTTTCTCAATAGTTAAAACTCACTATGTCGAAGGAATTAGACACTAGACATTATTGGAAAGATGTTTTGCTATGAGTTTTTGAACTTTTAGAACAGTCTCCTGTAGTTATATTATTTAAGATCTAAATGTTAGAACTTTAGTGCTCTCATTTACAATGATTTTGGAGGCCCTCGCTAAACGCCGAAGAGAGAGAGACCTTTAGAGGAATGGGAGGCTCTTTACGGGGAAGGGAAAGACGAGGAGCGACCAGATGCGGAAAAACGGGAAAAAGTGCTCAGCTGAACCATTGAGATGTGCAGCGAGCAGTTCCTTAATTTAACTGACTATTGCGTCTACTTTGCACTACTTTTGGGAAATAGTGACAGAAAGTGTTATTTGGTGGCATATAAACGCTGAAATGTAGTGTGGGATAGTTTAGATTGCGGTGAAGAACGTAGTGTAAAAGCGTAATGTCGCAATAGTCTTGGAAGGATTACTTTGGCTTCAAATTTTGATATTTCAGAGCTTTTTTTTGGGGGTGACTTTTTGCAAAGTAGGTTGGTTATGCCATTTTAAGATGTTATCTGGTCAAAAATGACAGGGAAAGGAACTGACACGGGAAAGCGTGCTCTGATTCAAAATAACCGTACAAGTCAATTTTTTGGCTTAAGATAAGCTTATACTGTTATGTCAGCGAAAAACGGGTTATCAGTTTTTGCCTGTTTAGAGCTAGCGATTTAGCAGAAAGCAGCATAACAAGGAAAAAACATTGGTTACGAAGTGATTCATATATACGAGGTTCTAGTGTGCAAATTATATATAAATCATTTTTTACTAAGCTTCCTTCTAAGCCTGTCTGTTACTGTCACCCTATCCAGGCGAAAGCGCAAAAGGGAATTACCGCCAACTCTACGGCCGGGGCAGAGGACGAGGAACAACTTTTTTATATATACAGACTGTCCCGAAATACTGTCTCTAATTACACACATGTATAAGTTAGGAAGTCAGGCGTATACCTTTCACTTGACGTCCAGGTAACTTTCAGTTTTTTGAGACCATATACACAAACCATTAATTTGAAATAAGCTTCTTTCGTTGGTTGGAAAGCATAGATAGAGTTTTTAACTCTATCCATGCTTTGGCTGAGTTGGATATGATATTTTGCAGCTACTTGCTGTAGCACAGACTCTGGACATTCCGGATTGAATTAGCCAACGAGATGTTACGTCACTTCACTGACGGTTGAACGTTGGTGCCAATTTGGGTACATTTCCTAGAAGATGAATCGGACCTGGTGGTCCTGTTTACTGGCCTCAGCGACCACCGGAAATAACATTACGGGACGATATTCCTTT